ACAAGCTTTCCATTGAAAAACCAATGCCTGCTGTGTTCACTATTGGATTGTGCGATATCAAAAAGTTCAACAGTGGTTGGATTCCTTTTGATGTCATCTCTGAAGAGGTGGGTATAGTACTTGATATCTTGTTCATCAAAAGCAAGTCCCATCTTCACATTTATTTCTTCCAAAGCTTCCCTTCCCCTTTCAATGACTGGAACAATACGGACAGGTTCAGGAACTACATCTGAATGAAATGATGTGAGCTTGTTAGGATAAACACACTCTGTCATTCTATCATGAACCAAAGCAGCAAAGTCATTAAGCTGGCTTTCATCAAGTGGACCATTGCCAGGATCCAGGCACAAAAGGTATCTCCTTGATCTCTCCAAGCGAGTTACTTCCATCAACGAGAGAGATTTACATATTGAGACAGCATTGGTCGAGAACGCTGTTGAAAAAGTCATCCGGGGACCAACCTCAACAATGACACTATAAGGGCTCCTAGAGATTTCCTCCTCCAAAAAGCTTTGTGCTTGTAACTTATCAGGTTCATAGGTTTCTGCTAAGAGCCACTGAAGTGTTGCAAGCTTCTCTGGAGTTAATGCATTGTCCAATTGAATGTTGAAGCATTGTTCAGTCTTTATACCCACAATATTAGAAGAAACCTTTGCTTGAACTTGCCTGAGTAGCTCAATTGTTTCACTCTCTTGAAGATATGGTATACGATATAACTGAATAACTCCAGCTTCTGATGCATTACCAGTTTTGGGAACCAATGAACTGTCAACCCCCCTGGAAACCAAAGCACCAGGAGCTGGCAGCATTCGGACATTAGGAACTGAAGCTCTTCGAACACCTGGATAACAAATATGATGTTGCTGAAAGCACTGTTGAGCAATTCGCGACCTTCCCAGTCCAGAACTCCTTGCAGCAATGAAAACATTTCTTTTTCCCTACGTAGAGAGTAGACACACAAGAACACAATGATGTTATGGGGGAAAAAAGTCCATCCGCGGTTGTGCAAAGGTCGCTTACCACATTACAAGGAAAGCCTTGGAAGCGTAATGGATTGCTTACTGACATTTCACCCGGAGATACCATGTTTCAAGAAATCCAAGGATCTATTTTGTGAAAAAAGGACGATCTGCAATACATAGTACAGGAATCAGATATTGACTTTACTAAACTTTGCATGATCACAATATAAGCTTGCACTTCCGAGTTTTTTGACAATGTATAGCTAAGCTCAAATAATACGACGTTGCTTTTGTTCCAAATTTAAACACTAAATAATCAAGAAGGGTATACCCAATTGATTATTCCTAACAGAGTGATACAAAATCTGCCAATACTGTAATAAAACGAATCTCGATGTTATACTGCACAATTTCCTTCCTCTTTAAAACCGCTTCTAATTACCTTTGAAATTATCGATAGACAGAGTTGGTATATCAGATTATGTAAACCCACAGAAGGTATACCAATTACCAATCCATCACACCAACCCAAGCGCCATGATTTGCTATCGCTATACATAGCATGGATAACCAGAACAAAACAAAAAAAAAAAGAGGAAAAAAAAAGAAGATGTGAAGGATATGGATATAGGATTATCCACCACGACAGTGACACATGGTTCAAAATATCTTCCTCTCTACTATCTTGCCGCTAAGCTAACCAAACCAGTAGACAATCAATCGTCTGTCGCATACACACTTTTATCACTCTCATTCCCATTAGATAGGATTAGTCCCGTGGGGCTGTGAGCTTACACGAAAATAATCTCACCTCCAAAGTATAGTCCATAAAACACAGATACAACCAGAGGTAGAGGCGATTAACTTAGTTCAAACTTGAAGGCTATAAAAATCCGATTGGATTCGATTCCTCACAGCAACGAGAGAGTTATAGAGAGAAGAAAATATAAATGAGCGAGATAAGAACTAGCAGAAATCTAAACAACCTAAACCCGTAAGGCGTGCTCACCGGTGGAGGGAACCAATCAGTCCAGGTCCGTATCAACGCCGACAAATCCAGTACAGGTGAAGGAGGGAGGACGGCGCGGCCAAGCGCTCCCTCGCTCGCAGGCTTTGTTTCGAGTTGGGCAGCGGGAGGAGGGGACAGCGACTGCCGGAGCTCACGCTCGAGGAAGCGGTGGGAGGCCGGTAAGCAGCGCGCGGAGGAGGACGACGGCGTCGCGGAGGGCTACGGCGGCGGTCGGGGAGGAGGTGGCTGGGTGGGATGGCGGCGGCGGCGGTGGTGGCGGTGGCGGCGCGGGAAGGGCGAGCGTGGGTATCCGCGAGAATGACGGGGCGCCTTTCAATCGACGGCTCTCGTTGATCCCGCCGCTTCCATCCGCGCATCTCGGACACAAAAAGGAGATTCCCGAACAAATTGGCCTTTTTCCGCAAATCGCGTCGCGTGCTTTGCGGATGGGCCTTGTTGGGCCGCACAGCCCCTCCTACGGCCCTACCTTTCTGCTACTGGGCCTAGAACTCATGGCCCTGGAAAACTTGCGTCATTTCCGCGCGGCGGGCCGTGCGGGTCTTTCGAGGAAAAAGAAACGAAAGCTGCTAAGGCTATGACTACGTAGGAGCATCACGAGGAGGATTGGATTGGATTAATTTTGTTGACCAATAATGTAGTCATCACTAATCTAGTATACAGTACTTGTTAATCTGAACGACGAGGAGGATCAGTTTAACCTATACTCATATTTTAGCCTCGAATCTTGAATCGTAGAGAAATTAATTAAGATGTACTTGAATCTGTTTGGGTAGTTTTTAGCTGCTGGATCATATTCTGAAAAGCTGCAGTTGTAAAATCTAGAAAATAAACTAGAAGTTAGAACCTAGTAAGCCTAGTTTTTTTTTTGATTCTTAGAAATTGGCTACCAAACAGTTGTTTTTTAGAATTTTAAGCTTCCTAAACAGAGAAAAACTGCTGGTTTAAATTAATAACACCGCTACTAGTCCACTGTAGAGTGGTCATTGTAGGAGGTATCTATGACTTTACGATGAAGGTCATGAGAAAGACAACCAACGAGGAAGCCACTTCTTTTTCACCAGGAGCAACGTAGTGACAGTTCAGAGATAGTGCTGTACTAATTGATGTTTCTGCTCGATCGGTCAGACCGACCGACCTCTCGACCACAGGCATTCCCGTGCTCGTCAGCTCTTTTTCTCGATGTGTCATCGATCAGGTGCAGAAAAGCAACAACGCCTCTCGTCCATCACTCAACCCCAGACGAAACAACCTATTCGTACGAGCAGGTCTAATAATATAGCCGGTAGTTGGCTGCAAAAATCTACACATCGACTATTAGAGTTAACCACAAAAATAGATATATACAATAGCTTGTTCATCGTTTTTCTCTACACGACTGCCTATGCTTTATTTATACTTTGATTTAATGATGCATGTCATCAGCTTACTCAATTCCTAACCCATTCAGTCTTTGTAACATGGGTCCACAGATAATCTTGCACCTTTGGTTCAATGTAAGCATGTGACAGAGCATTGTTTATTGTGTTAGCGCTAGCGCTTAAATAAGCGTCCGGTTGGCTCTCTCTTCCCCCCTCTCTCTCTTCCACGGAAGATTTTAATTACGTGGATGATTTTGCCGCCAGCTGACTAGGCTTATTGTACTCTCTCTACCAGCACTGCTCCTAGCCGCAGTGCTGCTACATACCCAACCCAGAACCAGAAGCTTCACCCGTTCGCCGTCCACGCCTGTCTCCTCATGACCAAACCCGACGACCACGACGCACGCGCTCACGACGCGTCGTGTGTTGTGTACTTGCACCGCGTGGTTGAGCGCTGTGATGGCGGCACGTACGCGAGCGGACGAACGGCACGCGGGTGCCGGACTGCCGGTGGTGTACGCTGCCGCACGGACGCGGAGCCGCTCGCGGATCTATCCGCGCGCGAGCCAATCGGTCGCTTGGTGTAGTGCACTGAGCTATACGCATCTTCTAGCAGGACGTCTCGTATTTCGTACTTCCTCGACCTAAAATATAAAAATCTAAAATCGAACATTTTATACTACGACCAGATAGACAGTTTAGGCTGTGTTTACAATCTTGTGTTTACATCATGCACGGTACGCACGAAAAACGGAGTGGTCTATTAGCACGTAATTAATTAAGTATTAGCTTTTTTTAAAAAAAAGATTAATATAATTTTTTTAAGCAACTTTCATATAGAAACTTTTTACAAAAAACACACCGTTTAGCAGTTTCAGAAGCGTGCACGTAAAATACGATGGAGAGGGGTTGGGAACCTAGAATTACAAACACAGTACTAGGATGGTCTTTATATTTTGCGATGGAGAAAATATTAAGTTTATTTTTAGAAAACGAATAGATGATGAGATAAAATACATTTCAGGATTATGAATTTAAATGTATTTATCACATAAGTTACTGTATTTTTAGGACACCTGTTCGTTTCCTCTTAAATTAAATTTGAGAATAAACTTTTGGATTAAAATGACACGCTTTTTAAACTGCTAAACGGTATATTTCGTGCGAAAACTTTTTATATAAAAGTTGTTCTAAAATACACAATCCATCTACTTTTGATAGTAATATTTCCAAACCTGAAATTTTTATTTTTGATAGGTATATTTTATTTTAACAACCTATCATCTTAATGACTTTTTTGGATTTAATGCATGACTCTTTATTCTTCCATACAAGATTGGCTACATGGGCATCGAGAAATGTAAATATTAATGAATCGCTTGTTTACGAGAAATGACTAGTAGTATATTTAAATGGATGATAAGTAGAATTATTTATCTTTGGTCTATGTGTCAAGATGAAATATGAATATTAAAAGTAGATGGAGAGAGTATCATATTAATCCATTTTTTAAGTTTATAATGATTAAAACTTAATTTATCACATGTTATTACCACCTCGTTTTTCGTAGAAAACTTAATATTCACCTTCATCTCCCTATTCAGAAGATTCAAACACCACCATTCTGACACCGCGACGTGATCCCAGCTGAAAAACTAGTAAACCCCCCTGTCCAACTGCTCCACCTCCCACTTCCACCAGTCCACCACCCTGCGGCATACGGCGCGTCACGAGCATCGGCGGCGGAAGCGTCGCCGTCGTTGTTGCCTTGCCTCGCGACGCCGCTCCCGTCCCTCTCACTCTCCCGTGGACCGTGCGCGCTCTAGCTCGTGCCTTCTTGCGGAGTTTGCAGTGCGCGCGTTTCGTTTGCCCGCAACAGCAAGGCGAGGGGGGAGAGAGCAAGGATGGCGAGGGCGGAGGCGGCGGCGGCGCTGGAGTTCACGCCGACGTGGATCGTCGCGGCGATCTGCTCCCTCATCGTGCTCATCTCCCTCGCCGCCGAGAGGTGCCTCCATTACCTCGGCAAGGTAAACCAAAACCATCTCCCCGGCCGGCCGGCCAACCATGCCGATCGAGGCGTACGTTTTTTTTTGCTTTGTTGCCCATCTCAATCTCTCTTCCTCGGATTAATGCGCTATGGCGTTGCTCGCTGCGATGGCAGACGCTCAAGAGAAAGAACCAGAAGGCGCTATTCGAGGCTCTCCTCAAGGTGAAAGAAGGTACTAGCCTTCTCTGTACAGTTCATGCTGTTCATTGAAAAAGGAACAGATGTTTCTCCTTTCAACCTAGCTTAGACCAAGCTGTAAACATTGTAGTTATGTAACTGTCGCATCATTTTTTCCTGATATGCATAGAGAAAGGATGATTCTTTGCACAAACATGAGCTGTAGATTTCTGTCCATTTCCTGTCCGATGCAGAGCTGATGCTTCTGGGGTTCATCTCCCTGCTGCTGACGGTGTCCCAAGGGATTCTTCAGAAGACATGCGTTCCTCCCAAGTGGACCAACTACTTGCTTCCATGTCGAAAGATGGAGGACCAGTCCAAACAACGCGGCCCGTCAGAAGCTCATTTCGTTGCTGCCGGAGTTCTTGGCCACCTCGGTCGGCGGCTGCTTGCCGATGGTGGAACAGGGGCCGACCATTGCCAGAACAAGGTAGATGGAAGATTGGAATCTATGGCACTATATGCTTCAAATCCTTCTTCCCCCAAATAATCCAGTACAAACGTTGATACTTGATAGTAGTAGTTACTTCTCGTGGCAGTACATGTCAGTAATCTGCAATATGGCAGGGTTTATGCCTCGTGTAGCCATGTGGGTTACTGCAAATTAGGAGCCTGGGATGGCACATGGAGGCGATCCTTCTTTTGAAATAATGGATGGATGGTCTTGCCTTTTTTTTTTAATTGTCCATTGGCAGTTATCATTCTGTGTAAGGACAAGAAGACCATATTTTACAGTTGCATTTGGTCAAGAACTCTAAACAATAGAGACCATCTTGACTTCTAGAGTCTCCTATGCAAACTCAAAGCAAATTACTTTTCACATATTTTCATGTTTGAAAGATGTGTGTCTGTTAAAAGTGATAATGTGGAGGCACAATAAGAGTTAAATATCCCAGATATCTCCTTAATGCTTTTATACTAATGAATTCAAGTGTTTTTCTTTTCCCTTCAGGGAAAGGTTCCTTTGCTGTCACTTGAAGCACTCCATCAGTTGCATATTTTCATTTTTGTTCTGGCCATCACACATGTGATTTTCAGTGCTCTGACTATGCTTCTTGGAGGAGCGAAGGTAAAAATAATGATCGATGAAATGCCTTTCACTTCAGGCATATGATTCATATTCATCATGGTTATATTTTTTTCAAAATTTTATTGAGCAGATTCATCAATGGAAACACTGGGAAAATGACATCCAGAAAGATGTTGCTCAAAATGGTATTGGAGTTTTAGTTGTTGCTCATATTTTGATGTGATGATAATATGATATATATAGTGGTTTGGCAGCTACCTTTTCTTTTGAAAACTATAGTTAATGCTGGAAATAGACAGTTGTTAGTATCAGCTTTCTGTATGATGAACTCATATAATTAATTCTATGGAACTATGCAGCGCCCAAGAAGGTGACCCATGTGCATCAATTTGAATTTATCAGGGAACGCTTTAAGGGTATTGGCAAAGATTCCATAATACTAAGCTGGCTGGTAAGAAATCATCTCTTGTAGTTTGCAGTCGTATCCTTTATATGAAGTAAAGCTGATTAAAATGTCATTTTCCTTGCAATAGAACCAATTACGGTTCTTGTAGCTAATTAAGCATCTTCCTTGCAGCATTCTTTTGTTAAGCAGTTTTCTGGGTCAGTTACTAAATCAGACTACATAACAATGCGACTTGGATTTATCCAGGTAAGAATAGCCCAACAGAACACTAGAATATATTCCATCGTCGTTATGAGACAAATTTTCTTTGCAGACACATTGCCGTGCGAACCCAAAGTTCGATTTCCACAGATACATGGTACGAGCTTTGGAAGCAGATTTTAAGAAAGTGGTTGGTATAAGGTAATCAAAAGTTTAAAACTGGGATACCATCATTTTCTAGATTCAATGACATCCAGATCAGTTTGTTAGCTACAAGTCTTGTTTCTTGTTGATTTACTTTTTATCACGTTGATTGACGAATCTAACTATGTTTTTTATACAATTTTTCATTTAGCTGGTACTTGTGGATATTCGTTATGATATTCCTGCTGCTGAATGTTAATGGTAAGTTTTGAGAACTACTACGTTTCTAAGAGAAGGCTCTGTGATCCCTGTTTTGCCTTCTTCACTACTTTATAGAGCCACTTATTTTCTTGTTCACTAGAGGCTAAGTTCTTCAACAAAGAAAATTTCTCAGCTCTAGTCTTCACTTATTTGCAACTATTTTCAGCATGCCGTTGTTAATGATCAGCTCTTGATAATCTGTAGGTTGGCACACATACTTTTGGATCTCCTTCGTTCCCCTTCTAGTAAGTTTGCTTATATCAGCCCCAGATAAAGCAAAATGCCTATGGATTCAAGACTGAACTTACTGAGTAATACTAACTTATTTTGCTTGCAGCTTTTGCTGGCCGTTGGCACCAAGCTAGAACATGTCATAACCCAACTAGCCCATGAGGTTGCCGAGAAGCACTCTGCAATTGAGGGCGACTTGGTTGTGAATCCATCAGACGAGCACTTTTGGTTTGGACGGCCGAAGGTGATCCTATACCTGATCCATTTTATCCTCTTCCAAAACGCGTTCGAGATCGCGTTCTTCTTCTGGATTCTGGTAAGTGTGATGGAACTCTACAAACCACAAAGTAGAAAAGAAATTAAAGAGCTGAAGCTGTCGGCTAGCTATGATGAGTGATATCTTCTCCTTTTTCTTTGAAAGACCACCTACGGTTTCAACTCCTGCATCATGGACCACGTCCCTTTTATCCTGACAAGGCTTATCATCGGGTATTTCATACTGTTTCTGGCTTTCTGCTTATCTATCCCATTTTGAACCAGCAAATGCCATAAAGTTTGATTAATCTTTACCTTGCAGGGCCATCGTTCAAATCCTCTGCAGCTACAGTACCTTGCCTATATATGCAATTGTCACACAGGTGTGTCAATACTTGCCATGACTACTGCTCTGTTTATTCATCATCAACTGTCTTATTGGCAACAGAAAAACTGAGACACCTTCGTTTTTTTCCTTCTTTTTTCTATGCAAAGATGGGCTCCTTTTTCAAGAAGGAGATCTTCGACGAGCATGTGCAGCAGGGCCTTGTTGGTTGGGCGCAGAAGGCCAAGAAGAGGAAAGGGTTGAAGGAGAGCAACGGCGCCATGGCTGGAGCTGGATCAACAAATGGGTCATCACAGCCATCTTCCATTCTACAAATGGTGAGGCGAGCCGCCGCTAGCGAGGAAGGCAGCAGCAATGGCGGTGACATGCGCACTAATCAGTAGTGGCCCGGAAGCAGTGTGTGTTTGTGACCTACTGACCGTCGAGAAATGCAGTGTTGCCGTGCACCCAGAAACTGCGATCAGCTGTGCTGTCAGCTATGTTTTGTTTGTTCTATTGTACTACTGTACTCTAGCAGACAGTAGTTTGCATGGCAATAGTCAAGAGGAGAGTTGTATGATACTACTACTAGTAGCTAGTAGAAGATGGCGATACAGTGTGATAGGATGCTTGCTACCTTTGATCGACACACATGTTGTCGAGTTTTAGAATTTACCTACCGAGAAGGTAGTGACTGGAGAAGCAGCTTGTAGTAAGCAGAACAGGCACAAAAAAACTGAACTTTGCTTCAATTCAGGCTGTCCAGCAGCAAGCAACAACACTCATCAGATGATGCATATAGAGTAAATGGCGCTTTAACTGTTAACTATTCGACAGGCTAATAATGGACGAAGCATCACTCTTACGACCAAAACTGTGAAGAACACACATAATGCTCGTTCCATATAACAGTCATCAGTTCTTACAGCCGTACAAAACGTAAGCTCGACTTATCTCAAGTATTCCTGCTATAAATGACTCGTACAACAATCACCATTTGCATGCCTGCCTCTCGATTTTGGAATTCATGGTGCCCTTTCCCTTGTACTTGTATGCATTCCTTGAGGAGATAGGCCTTCTCCGCCCATGCGCGGCAGCAATTGCCCTCTTCCTTTGCTTGTTCAGTTGCTTTGCCAAAGCATCATCATCCTCGCCATCAGGATCATCTGATGAGTCATCGTCACTATCATCGTTGTCTTGTGATTCAGTTGGCTCCTTAGCGTCCCCATTGCTAGAAGGGGATGGATTTATTGAGTTGTTCTCACCACTGCAACTTGTGCTCGTTTCGTTCTGCAGGGTAAAACAACATAAGCACCGTCCAAGGAAAAAGTCTTGTCCAGTCAGTACTCAGTAGTCACTCGAATAAAATTGACTAACCTCTTTGGCAAAAGTTTCAGGTTCATTTGAATCTTTTGAAGCAAGAGTGCAATCAGGCACCTCAGCAGAATCCTGAGCAAATAACCCCAAATTTGACAACTTGAGCAAACTGAAACTTCTAGATATCTTGGCAATGGCACAATTTATTGACATATAAATTAAATATATTTGCTACATGGATCAATACCTGCTCTGCTATTTTTAAGGAACCGATTTTAACAGCCACATCATCACCATCCTCATTATCTTGTTCTGATGTTGAATCATCATCTGAGCTCTCTTCTTCAGCATTTTGGTCAATGTACTGTAATCAGTTGAACAAAGAAGATAATGACCAAAAAACTGATACATGATTCCACATAGAAGCATATCCAAAGGGTTTCCAAGGTTGTTTCTAAAAATTTTAGCTTTCATAATGTTTGACTCATATTATCACATTAGGTTCTCAATTGTCACAAGCTTGATGTTGAATTTGTGTACCCACATCAAAACTAACAAAATGACGAGGGAAAAGGAGATGTGACCACAAAACTGAGGCAGAGCATTAGTTGGTCCTTACTGGTTGAAACCAACATTTTAACATGAGCCCAGTACAATTACTACCCATGATAATCGCATTTGTGGCTTTACTTTGAACTCTGAAATATAAATATGCACCAACAAGAGGTTCATATAAACTAAAAAATCTGACCTACCTTGTCCATCTCAACTTGCTCTTTTCGGGTGAAACCACTGGCAGCTAGCTCCTTGTCCAATGAACCAGCAGCCTTTTGTATAGACAGAAAGGATGGCCTGCTATTCTCATCATCATCAATGTCTGACCCATCCTGTTCTTCACATTTCTCTGAGGAAAGATGAAACCTACAATAAATAAACAAAAGAAAGCTTATTGACAAATGTGTTGAAGTGCACCAAAATGAATTGTTGAGGTTCCAGCATTAAATAGACAATAACCTCTTCCTAAAGAATTTGTAGATGCATTCAATATCTCGATCAAAAAACCTGCAAAAGTAAAACTCATGAATAATGAATACAAAGGTAGTCTTTCTCTTAACTACTAGAATATGTCACATACATCTGGGCATTCCGATGTTTAACAGATACCATCTGCGGGAAGTCAATCATTGTAACTTTCTCATCATCATCAATCTGCAAAACATCAATACACACAAAGAAAAAATATGGTGACATTATTCAGAAGTTTAATCTAGAAAACTACAACCATTGTTCTACCTTGACACCTGTTTGACTGTTTGCAGGCAACCAAAGAGTGAATTCTATGTGAACTTATAAAAGGTACAAGAAGCAATACCATGATATTGAACTCGTTAAAATCACAATGTATCAGCCCATGCTCCGCCAAACGAACAACAAGGCCAAGAATTGTGTCAAAAACATCGTCTGGATTTTGTAACTCTTTTACTTGAACGCTATATAAGGAAAAATGGCACTTGATCAATTCCTGCCTAAAGAAACTCAAACCTTAGATAGTAACTTAATGATAATGATGTCACTTACAGTGGATATCCCTGCACAAGTGACATGATCACACAATGCCGGTTGCAGTCAACAGCAGTGGGAACTGGAAATCCATGGTCTCCTAAAGCCTGGAATTTCATAAAGTAAACTAGAAATGATTATCAAGCAAATATGAATCTAGCTACAACTAACTTGATGAAAAGTATAGTCAGCAAAAACCTTCATAAAAGCAAATTCCTTTAGGGCCGCTAGTCGTGACAGGTATAACCAATTAAAGCTCCTCCGGTGTGCCAAATAGTCACGCTTGGATTTCACAGCCCTAAAAGATGTCCTACCCAACCTATGAAGCTTCATGGCCAAAACGGTACCATCCTCTGTGGCAACCTCAAAGATGTCTGCAGGTAAAGGAAAGATTAGACAAATGTTAGAACATCTGATATGCGATTGTGACATAAAAGTAAAACATGAGAAAACATCATCAACAGCATGTACCTGACTCCTTTCCAACACCAATTTGCCGACCAACTGAAGCAAATACTCCACGATTAACCAAGGTTTTGATGGCGAGGAAATCATACCCAAGATATGTGAGCCGATAACCATCATCTGCGTCCAGACAGACCAGCAAAAAGCAGCTATGTTAACCCAAATTTTCATCTAAAAGTAAATTTCAGCATCGAGAACTCACATTTAGTAGCATCATGATGCACCAATTTGTTCTTCAACAAATTCCGCAGCACTTTATATGTGCCTCCGTGCCTTCATTCATAAGATTGAAGAATTAGAACACATTCAAAGGACATATTGTTGCAAGTCTTAAAACCAATGTTCTAAGCAGTCAGTTCCAAATTCCAACTTGTTTTTTTTTATCTATTTTAGTGGATACACATCCATTCCTATGTCCCACACACCAAACATCACAAAAGGGTGACTTCTGTGCTTCTAGAATAACAATATTGAAGTATTGAAGTTCTAAAACTTATGCGCGATAAATATGGAAAGCAAGAGCTCTGTTACTATCATCCATTTGCAACTTCATGAACAACGTTCCCCATAAAAATACCAAATCCACCGACTGTGCAGCAACGATTTATAGCAAACAAATACAGCAAAATCCCGAGCCAAAAGTAGCACTCACTTCAATCCGGCGATGCGGTCGACGAGCTCGGCAGGAACGATCTCGTGCTGCGAATCCAAAATCAAGACCACCAAGTCAGGCACAAGGACACAGCAATTCTCACGCGGTGCTGGGTTTAAGGATGGTCGTGGCAAGTGTATCAGAACTTACGTTACGCATGCCCATCTCGACGGCGGTGAGGACGCGGAAGTCATCCTTGGAGAGGTAGCGGAGCGCGTTCACGTCAAGCTTCATGGCCTCCTCCTCCTCCTGCTGCTGCTGCGGCTGCTGTTCCGCCGCGCCGCAGGCGCCCTAGCCCGTGGAAAGGCGCACGGGTGGGAACTGTGAGGTGAGGGCGCGGAGGAGGCGGCGAGCGGCTGGCCGGCGGCGCTAGGTCAGGGTTGAGACGTTGGAATCGAGCGGCGGCGGCGGCGGCGGCGGGTGGGGGTTGGGAGGAAGGGAGAGGAGAGAGGCGTGGGCCGGTGGCGAGAAGCCGAGAATGCGAGGACGGAACGTGAGCATCTCTGATTATGGGCCTCCATATCTCCAGATTTGATGTGCTGGGAATATTGGATTGGGCCGGCCCAGTGAGTGACGTCCACTTCCCTTTGGAAACCTCGGTCTCGTCGTTGTCTCGGCCGGAGCTACACGGAGCTACGCCGTCAACGGCTCGAGCTCGACGCACCCACTCGCCATTTCCCTGGTTTCCTGATTGCCTCCTCCTCATGACCGGACCGGACGAATCCAATAAGGAACAGATCACCGGTGCCAATAAACGACACTCGTATGACGCAACACTGGTTCGATTTTGAAATCAACGCGACACTTCCGAGTCGTGTGACATATGCAAATTATTATGTCATCCCATCCCTTTCTAAAATCAAGTTACGTGATTCCACCACTTGCCAGGAAGTATAATTCACCTTTGTACCTTTCTCGACTGGGGTGTACAGGAACCATGTTTGCAACTATCTGATCCTCTGATAAAGTCTGAATCCCAAACTCGCCGAGCATCACCCACCGAGAACTGAATCTCAGGCAAGTCGAGAAATTTTGATGGATTGATTAGGCAAACAAGCTGTATACATCTGCACCTGCCCTTGGTATGTTACAATGTTTCTCTTCGAGTGACCAATGAGGTAATGATCATTCCGAATGCCCACGGACACAATGGCATGCGAGCAAGTGAGCAGCTGCTGACATTGCCGATCCTACATGTCTGCACCTACTGATCGACCTACCGATCATTTGCACATGACCATGTACCAATCATTCATGTCCTGAACGCGAGCACTGAACCTGCAGCAAAGGCAGGCAGCCACCCGAACCCCAAGCTGTCGGCCAGCTGGCCGGCAGGCAGCACGGACGCATGCCTGCCTCGCAAGGAGACGAAAAGACGACCAGCTACCGGCCGGTCAGAATACACACCATGCCGCAGAGCCGCACAACTACCACACGCGCGATGACGACGACGTCGAAGTCGTAGCAACGTGCTACTACTAATACTCCCTCTGTTCTATAACCAGCATAGTTGTAAGTTTTAATGTCTAACTTTCACTATCTATTTTATTTAAAATATTTTTATAATTAGTATTTTTATTGTTATTAGATGATAAAATATAAATAGTACTTTATGCGTGACTTAGGTTTTAAAACTTTTTCATAAATTTTTCTGTACTTATAATGGGACGAAGAGAATACTACTCCCTCCGTTCCATAAAAAACGAATCTAGAACCGAATATATTCTAGTATGATGAATATATATATATATATATATATATATATATATATATATATATATATATATATATATCATATCCGGTATTAGGTTTGTTTTTTATACTATGGAGGGAATAGTACGCACCAGAGACTTGGAATTCACGCCTCTCTCTCTCTCTCTCTGCATCTGCATCTGCATCCACCCACCGCTGCTGCACATACGCTGCACCCGGCCGGGCGGCGCGGCCGGCTCCGTACTCCGAAGATCTCAGCTTTCAATTCCCAGGGATCTCCCCGGTTGATGTCACTGTCGGTCCACGGCAGCGTACGTACGGCCCAAAACGAGCATGCATGAGATATGGATCGATTAATCAGCTGCCAATTAAGTCCGGTCAAATCCTGCAGCTGTAGCGTGCTTACCATCGCGAATAAAGCGCATACTTGGCCCCTGCTCGGTTCAGAGAATCTGCTTAGAAGGAAGGAAGCAAGCAAAGCAAAGCAAAGCAAGCCTCTTCTTTTTTATATGCTCCAAGTGTGCAGTTGTTAAACGAAAAGGCTCCCATTCTCTCGCAGCCTCTCCTCCATCTCGGTCGATCAGAGAGGAACAAAGCTGAGTCTTAGAGGAAATTAATCAAGTGAGGTTGGTTGTCTGAATGAGCTTTGCAATCCGCAGCTCTGAGCCTGAATTCTGGTTCTTGATCCCGTCGGAAGAGGCAGCAGTAGCAGTCGCAGCACATCGGCTGGTGGTGATGGATCAGAGGAGAAGCGGATCAGCTTATCGTCCTAAGCGGACACATATGGCGGCGGCGGAGGACGAGCACCGGCGGCCGGGGACGTCGAGCCGCCGCCGGGTGGCGCCGACGCCGACGACGCAGACGCAGACGCAGACGGCGCCCGGCTACTTCACCGTCGAGCTGGTGATGGCGTTCGTCTGCGTGACCGCGTCGCTCGTGCTGCTGCCGCTCGTCCTGCCGCCGTTGCCGCCGCCGCCGTCGCTGCTGCTGGTGGTGCCGGTGTGCCTGCTCGCCGTCCTGGTGGCCATGGCGTTCGTCCCGCTCGACGCGCAGAGCAACGTCGTCGGCTCGTCTTGCTTGTAGATAGAGAAAATGAAATTCTTTTCTTGCTTTTTTTTTTTATCTTCCACAGACCACAGTTCATTTAGGATTTTAGGTTAGCGTAAAGAGACGGTTAGTTCTCTATTGCTAGATTAGTGGGGACGATGAGTTTGTAATTACTGGGCTGTAATTGATTACTGCTGATCCGATAGATCGACCCGGGCTAAACCTGCAAAACACATGCCCTTCTGAAGAAGGGGAAAAAAGGAAAAATCAAGGTTACATGAACATTTTGTATGAGCTCGTTTTACAATTCAATTCAAGATGAGTCATGAGACAATACCCTGCGTCACATGGATGACGTGATCACACAACGAAGCTTCCATGCTAGACTGCTAGTACAGTACTACATGTATCATGTGTGGTTAATTAATCTACACGAACAAACGAACGCATGTACCCGGTCCCGTGCCGAGACTATATTGGAAGGTCTAACATGCCATATTCTTCTTCTTTTTTTCCTGTACCGATCTAACCCACTCGGCCGCCCACGCGCCGTGGCTGACTTCCGCGCGCCATAAGCCACATGATCCAGCCGAATCGCTGGTTATTTCCACGAGATCCAAAACGTGCGTGCCTACGTACGTGACCGCGATGCATGAAGAACTTAACGCGCACGGTCTCGGCTCGCCGACCACCATATTCACCAACCTAGCGTATGCAGCCGTACGTAACGTACCGTACGTCGTACGAGAGGTAATTAAAGTTTGGGAAAGGGATCATGGGTGGATGGCTGTAATTAAACCAGGTGCGAATTACTACATCTGTTTAAAAAAAAACTCAATTGTCCAGATTTATAGCTAGGAGTTATCGTTTTTTTACAGAGTTAAAGGCTAGAGTTAGTAGTGAGATATCATTTTCTTGTTCCATTTCTAAACGAGCTTGTAAACCCATATACAGGCTGGGTTAACAACGATCATACGGCGCCTCGGAAAATGATGGACCCAAAATAAATTATACTTCCTCCGTCTTAAAATACAACAAATTTTAACCCTTAGAATTTGTCCCAAAATATAACAATTTCTCCACCAACATTCTCTTCCCAACCAATTACAACCATTCACCATTTACTTTTCCCACCTATCTCCACTACTTATCCAATCACAACCCTTTACCACTCACTTCTACCTACTTTTACTTTCTTAATAACCGTACCGATCTAACTTCTTATATTATGTGACGGAGAGAGTATGCTTTAACTTAGACAAATACATTCTGATTTGTTTACGATTTACGTGGGTTCCAGTAATAAGGATATATATTCCATTTATTTTCACTTAGTAAAAAAATAAACTGTTATGGTTATTCTTCTTGTACCTAGCTAGAACGCCACTACATATATAAGTGGATGAACTTCTTTAACATTACTTTAGTCGTGGTGGGTCCACAGTACCGCCAAATTATTATTAGGGATATATCTAGATCATTATACGTGCAAAGTGCACTCTAAAAACTTTCAAAACTAGCTGTAAGATCATGGCAGGTTAAAAGGTTTGCTTTGATAGAGAAGAAAAAACAAGGGAATCCATTTTAAAGATTAAAAATGTTCAGATAAAGAAAAGGAGAAAGATCTAAAATTATTACCGAGTTACGGAGACCCATTTGGCGAGACAGGAAGTGGCGGTCCATAATGCGAACGAGGAGGTCAAGGCTGGACCAGATAGAGCTGGTTGGGTCGAGACAAAACCGCTCAGTGGGTTATAGCCTGCCTGCCTGATCCAACACTGCCGCCGATCCAGTATCACGTCACGGGCCTCTGCACCCCGCCGATCCCTCACAACCCAAATCAACCGGTCCTGCACCCCATGCATGCATGCATGGGCCTGGCAATCTTAACTGCAGCCCAAGTGGGCCCAGGATGTCACCCAGTGCAGGGTACTTGTCTCTCTTAACCAAATCACCCACCTTACAAAGGTTCACAATCAGAGCTCCTACTGTACGGCAGTAATTTTGATGCCACTGGTGATGAACAGCGGCAGATCAGGACTAAAACTTGGCCAGCTGCGTGCCAAACGCCTCGAACAACGCACGGGTTTCGATGAGCTCGGCGAACAGTGGAGGAGCAGCCTTTTTGCCCAATTGTGTTTGATTCCATCTGCTCCGCTCCCATATACACACGCATGACTAGCAATATATATGCTTCGCTAGCTGTACGTATCCTGTATGCAATGTCAGCTAGCGCATAGAGGAATGTAAGCTTGTATGCATTGCAGATGATGAATTGATGATGCCAAACTAACTTGTCTTCAGGTTGCCGATGACAAATTAAACTGTTGGTGCGTCACTGCCGGGACAAATGAGCGTTCAAAGGAGATAGCTAGCTAGCGATCGAGCACGGATACAGAGCAATTAATTAGACTATTTTTTCCCTGCCCGAATTCCGAAAGGCAACCAACTTGTCTTCAGGCTGATGGCATTTAGCAGCGTGTTGGTTAACGCTTCAGAATAACACTATAGTACAGTGCAAACAGAATGATGGAGTTTGTATGCATCTGGAGACGACGACGACGACGCAGCTGTGCCCTGTGTGTAGTACTAGTAGTTTGGGCTTGCCGATCGTACGTTCTGAGAGAACAATTGTTCATCACGCAGAATGTTCAACGTCATGGCGTTTAAACTACACGTAATCAAGAGAAAAAGATGTTCAGTTTATATAGTATCAAACAGGTAGACATAGACATGCATGCATGCATTCGGCCGGATCGAATGTACAGGCCACGCATAGTACGCATTTTGTCTGTACCCTGGGATATAGTAATAGTACGAATTCTATATATACGTACAACTGTATATACGATGGTGAGTTACTATACATTCACGGGAAAAATAACAAAAACATTTCAAAATCATTGCTCATTTGGTTAGCTAAGGTCGGCAACAAAAAATTTAAAGCGCCAGTAAGCATGCAATGCAACAATATCTTGTGCTGCATGCATGTATGGATTATCTAACACGGAAAGTAGCCAGCTGGGACCACGGTACTCTATGGAGTCTGGACTGGGCACCATTCAAGTCACGATTGATCGTGCAATCAGAAGCCCATTTGAACTCGTTTGAATTTGTACTTTCCTGTATATACGAGCCCCATTGGTTAGCCTAACAAGACAAAGCAAAAGTCAAAAATTAAATTTTCCTAATTATAAAGTTGATTTTAATATATTTTCAATGTAATTTTTTTAGCATTGACTTTTAAATCATTACGAACGAATATATAAAAATTTTACGTATAGACTAATTTTTATTTTTATATAAGCTATTTTTACTTATTAGAAAATATAGACAACCCATCAGGCTCTATATCTTGCTGGATCGTCTATCCCTTGATTCAATTGTGTGGCCACGGTCCTGCCCTAGCTAGCGCGCGCACGCCTCCGTGGCCGCCAGAGAATGCCGAAAGAACTTGCAGGCCATCTTGAGTTCGCCGGAGATGAAGGAGAAAACATAGTCCAATTGATGAACATTCCGAAGATTGTTTTTTTTTTAAGACAGAGCTGAAGGAATACTTTCGTTGTTTGTTGTGTTTATGGTCGAGCTGAATATTATTACTAGGGTGTGTTTAGATCCCAAAAATACTAGGGTGTGTTTAGATCCCAAAAATTTTTGGCAAAAAATATTACATCAAATGTTTGGACACATGCATAGAGTATTAAATGTGGAAAAGAACCAATTGTACAGTTTGCATGTAAATTGCATGACGGATCTTTTGAGCCTAATTACGACTTGATTTGACAATGTGGTGCTACATTAAACATTTATTAAAAATGGATTAATTAGACTTAATAAATTCGTCTTGCAGTTTAAGGGCGGAATCTGTAATTTATTTTATTATTAGTCTATATTTAATATTTTAAATGTATGCGTATACTGGCCTTAGTACTCCGTACTCGTATGTATATTTTTTTTCTTATGTTCCGTGCAATCCTAGGACAGTCAACGCTGTATTCTCTGACCCGCTGTATATTGTCTGACCTCCTCATGTGCTGCTGCAACCGAGGCGGCTCAGCTCAGCTGATCATCGATGCTGTAGAAACGGAAAAGCCCCGCGCCATGCAACCCTCGTGTCAGCAACGCACGGATCATACTAGCGAAACAAGCACAGATACCGCCTCGATCCGCGACCGCGGTAACAGTGCACGGCTGCACGAACGCACCCGGCCCACCCCAACCAAACGGACCGGAAACAAGAAAACACGGCAGCTAGCTAGCAAACCATGCAGTTTTGCAACGGGCAAAATACGAGAAAATCCGCGACAATGTGTGGTTGCCGCAATCAACCGTCAAATCCACGCTGTTTTGCGTTGCCGCATCGCGAATTCAGTTGGTTTAGCTCAAAATGGGACGAGATGGTACTCATGGTAGTAGTAGAGATTATATTCAACTCTACTGCCGCACCAAAAAAATAATCTCACACGAATTCAATGAAAAAGTTTTGAGGAAAAAAAATTACAATGAGTCATTTCAGGACCCACCACTAACAATGCAACTATCTTCTCCTCGCTCCGTTCCTTCCGCCGCCGCCGCCGGCGGTGGCGGCGGCGGCGGCTCCGCCGGTGCAGCTGATGCCTCGCCACCTTCCTCCTTCGCGCCACCGGCCGTGGAGAAGATTCTGGCGCCGACGCACGGGCCGCACGTGCGCTCCACCCAGGCCTCGAGGTCGTGGCCGGCGGCGGCCTGGCCGAGATGCACGCGGCGGCCGAAGCAGAGGCGGCCGACGGCGACGGCCGCCGCCGCCAGCACGGCCAGGACGGCCAGCATGGCGATCACCGGGCCGTAAGACCCCCTCACCGCCGTCGTCGTCCCTTCCCCCGCGCCTCCTCCTCCTCCTCCGCCGTACCCGACCACCGGCACCATCAGCTGCGTCGGCGGAGGCGGCGGAGCAAACGCCGACATTGCCTCCATTGCCAACGCCTTCTTCCTCGAGCACTGCTCTTCGTCTCTCTGGCTTATCTTAAGCTTGACCAGCTTGAGCCGCTACGAGAGGTGGAAGAGAAGAGAGAGAGAGATAGTGTGAGCTCCTACTACTACTCCTAGCTAGCCTACTACAGCTTCGCGTTATTAATTGATCCTTCCTTCCTTGCTGTGGCCAAAGCCAGAGAAGGCCAAAGGGAAAAAAGAGTTCAACATCACTCGCTACAGTGGCATTTAAGTGCAGGTTTCAGAGTTTTTGGCTCTACAAGGTGAAAAACATCCGTTCGTTTACGTTCTCTGTTTTTTTTTCTCTCATGCATCGCTGCACGTACGGCCGTTCCTACGGTCGTCGTACCGTTAATCAGCAGGCGGCAGACCGTTTCTACTGTGGTTGCAACGGGAGATCGATGAACGGAGTAGGAGTAGTAGTAGTACACTGGCTTTTTTACAGTGCCTGCTGGATCGGTTGGTGGCTGGGCATGAATGGCCTTCTTCAGTGGAGCTGGAGGCTTTTCAGGGTGGGGGTAGTAGTACTCATTCCGTAGTTAACCTTGTAATGGTATATAACACATCCTAATACACAAATTTAAACGTAATCCATGTAATATACTCTATGTTTAGATTTATTATACTAAGATGAGACACATTATAGCACGGGATTGGTTTTATTTTGAGACCAAAAGAAAGTATTCCCTCTCGTTTCAGGTTATAATACGTTTTGACTTTGCTAAAAGTTAAACTATTTTAAATTTGACTAAGTTTATATACAAATATAGTAATACTTATAATACTAAATTAATTTTATCACATCAATAATTAAATATATTTTTCATAATAAAATTGTTTGGATTGAAAATGTTACTACATTTTTATAAACTTAATCAAAGTTAAAGCAACGTCTTATACCTGAAGCGTCTTATACCTGAAGCAGAGGGAGCAGTAGACTAGTAGTACTACTAGTACGTTTAATTGGCCACGAGATATACCTCGGGATGCGTGAGATCCTCGACAGGGACGCCTGTCAGTGGGGCTAAGCTAAATCACAGGACGTCGCTGCATGCATGCCTGCATCTGCATGAGCGAGAGCGATTTTAGCTCCGATGATCCCCTGTGCCGAGCGCTCGCTGGCGCGGTGCCTTGTTATCCGGCGGCAACGTACGTTAGCTTGCAGCCAATCGGCGTCGCGCGCGCCTGTGCGTGCGTTCGTCACAGCCAGCGAGACGGTCGGCCCGGTGCGGAGCCATGTTTTTGACGGCTTCTTTCGCTTGGCTACGGTACGCTGTGGTCGGTCGGACCGACCACCTTTCCGGTGGATTGGCCGTGGCGGGGGGACCCAAACCCTGCACTGGCGCTGCTTGCTCGGCTGCTCCTCGTGATCGCGGGCGATCGGATGCCGGGCACTGCGTCCTTCTTGTCTCGGCGTTCGCGGCTTCTGCTGGGCTGGGCATCTGGGCCTTTATGGCCTTTGACTTGTCCCGCTTTATGGGCTGCGCGTCGTTTTGCTTGGATTAGGCCCATAAACCCTTGTTTCATACTCGCCAGCCCGGCAAGAAAAGAGAGCCCACAATATCTACTTAGTTTCCTATTATAAAACTTTCTAGCATTACCAACATTCATATATATAGACATATATATGTGCCTAGATTCATTAACATCTATACGAATGTGGGCAATGCTAGAAAATCTTATAACCTAAAACGGAGATAGTACAATAGTGTGTAGAGAGGCACTCGTAATAGTTAGCTTTGTCTGAAGAAAAATATTGATTTAATTGTTTTGATCCCAATTTTCTTTCACTTAGAAGACAAAGTTCGGGCTACTCCATGCCGCGACAGAAAACGAGGCAAAAGAAGTAGTAATTGGATCAAGATACTTGAGTCTTTTCCGGCATGCTGGCCTGTGAGAGGAATTGCATGTTGATAAGTTGGGGTTTAGCATTAGGTTTTGGTTTTTGGCAGAGTAATTTTTGCAGGTGTTGTTCATTAATTGTAATTTTTTGGGAGGTTTTTCTATCTCTGTTCTCTACTCTTTGTATTCTCCGTGTATTATGTTCTCCTATCCTCCAGGGTCCCTGTGCTTGCGTAGGTAAAGCCTGTTCTGTGTAAGATTATTTGGCTCAATATATTCAGGTGGTGATTTAGTAAAAAAAAAAAGAAGATACTTAGTCGTTTGCATGTTCAACTTGTCTACGGTGAAGATCTGAGGCAGAGTATCAGTCCGTGACAACAACTAACTCTGAGGAGTATATATGTAGTACTATAAGATTATCAGGACAAGTTCAATCACGTTCACCATCACCATCTATTTACATCTTGACGTACAACAAATCCATGCATATATACACTTCGAATCTGTTTGAAGTACAAACTGCACGAACTACGTAGAAATTTACTCTCCACCCCGCCGAATCCTACCTTGAATTCGACCAAAACACGAGCAAAATTAACACAAGAACTACCACTTCATCCCACTGATTCCTGAAGCATCACATGCCGCTGATGCAGGAGAAGATCCTGGCGCTCCTGCCCCTGGCCAGCCCGCCCTGCTGCCGCCACTGCGGCGAGGCACCCACCTCGCCGGCAAGCTCCTCCAGCGATCGGTGCCGGCGGTGCGCCGTCATCTCCCTCTCCCCGCCGGCGAACTTGCCGCCGTCCACCGCCCACTGCTTCTGCTCCTCCCAGGCGACGACGTCCTCCTCCTCCTCCCCCACCCTCCCGAACCTTCGGGCCGCCGACATGTCGGAGCTGCACAGGGAGTACGTCCTGCTCCTCCTCTCCTTGATCGCCTTGTAGATGAACGGGATGAGCCCCTCCATTAGCACTACCTGACTTGGTAATTTGATTGGCTTGATTTGGAATGGAACCAGCCTTCCCGAGAGAAAGGCGCGGCTTTTATAGGAGATCGATGTGCACTCGTGCCTCGCACAATGGCGCAACCTTCTCGTCTCTCGTCAGCTTCCAGGAGATGAGATAAAGAAATGGCCGTTTGACTCGGGCAATTTTCGCTTGCGTGTCGTCGTCTTCTTTAGTTTTTGCTGGTGGTGTTGCACTTGCGATTTGGCTCTATGGTTGCTTGTACCTGGAAACCTTTCGAGATGTCGATGGTTTTTCGCCTGCTTAAATCCATATGGCTCGTGCTGTTCTAATCAGGCCATGATTGTTGTGTTGATTACGTAAGTGATCACTAGCTGGGTAAAGTAGGTAGGTAACCGTGGGTTTGTGTGGTTGATGGTTTTGTGGTTGGAAGCTCTTGTTTTTCTTTTACCGGTTAGGTTGCCCATGGATCATGAGAATGGAAATATAGAGGCTGGTCTACCAGCTTGTAATTTCTGGGTCTGTTTATCTACCTGCAGCTGAAATATCAAGAATTAATCTCAAGAGTTAGACTGTCATTTCATTAGTACGAGTTGTTCTGTTTTTAGGGTACTTCTGTTCAAACAGGGACATGCAAAAGGAGGACGGAAAAATTTGAATACATTAATGAGAACTAAGGAATTAAGAGAATATGTTTAGTAAGTATACGGTTCAGGTTGTGGTAGGACAGAGACCGTGTCGTCTTGCTTAGTTGCTTGCTAATAACACGAAATTGATGTGTGTTGAGATCAGATAACGTCGAAAAGTCAGCTCAAAGATGCCTTGATCCCTGAAGCTAGCTAGATATATAGTTTTTTCTAAATATGTTCATCTGAGGTAGGCATGTTCTCTAGGTTTGTGCCAATCAGACTCAATTATGCTGGTTGCTGGACATGTTTGACCTGTATTCAACAGCAACATCAACCCAACGTGGATATGAGTCCTTTAATTATCTGATCGGATGCTGCAATAATATTTGCCTTGATCAACTCAGGGTTGAAACTTGAAAATACAATATACAGGGAAGGGATAAATGGGATAACTAAAATGGTTGAAACAATTTGCAGATACTATGCGCTGACATCCTAAAAAATGATTGAACCTGGTATCTATGCACATAAACTTGGTATCTCTGCATGTGTTGGAGATTCTGACACATGAGCAATGAACATGGTTCCATACAAATGGCAGACTGTATCTGTAATATAACATTACGTAGATAATATAGATAGGCATGATCTTGGTTATGCTACAGTCCTGCGGTGATCTCACAAAACCACATGATTTAACATGCTGTGATGCTAATGCCAAATGCTTCATTCGATTGTGTTGCTGTAGCCTGTACACGATTGGAGTATTCCACCTGATAAGATCGGTCAATGGTCTATTTAATTTGGTCAATGGTCACCTGCCTCAAAATTTGAGACGGCATTCCAAACTTCCCATCTTGATCTTATCAGCCATATCTAAATTTTAAATTTTAAAACTTAAATTTAAACTTTTTTAAGTATATTTTCAGCATTGACTTTTAAACCACAAACAACATAGATATAAAAGTTTTATCCATTAATTTTTTTACGGTTCATCAGATGTAATAGCTCAAATACTCAATAATGGAACGAAAGCTTGATTCGCCACGGCAAGAAGCAATCAGAACTAACAAAAAACAGTTTGGCTTATTACGATCTACTATACAATTTTCCGATTTGATTTACTGCATGCCTTCTGTTCTAGCACCAAATTTGACATGAACATTTTAAAACTGCAATTTGGTTGCCAATACCTTTTGCCAGTTTCAGAAGTTTTGGGACTTTAGCCTCGATAATATTATTTATATGGAAAAAGTCAAATAGATACAGTCATGAGGACATCGGATAGCAAATGGTTTTATCACTTCATCTGGATTCATGTTGTCATGGGTGTCTACGTTGTAACCTGTCGCCTTTTTTTTCTAAAAGAGAAGGCCTGATTCAATAAGTTTACCTAACACAATTTTTTCGAAAGAAAAAAGGGTACAACTTATGCTTCTATAATAATAAAGAAATATCCTCTGATGATTATCAGGACAATTTTATCAGCAACAGATTCTTGATGGCAAACCAATGTCTGGTTCTTACCAGGCAAGAGCCAACAGTTGACTTGTAGCAGAACTAGACTGTCTGCTTTTTGGTTCAATTTTGAAATTAAGCCGACATAACAGGGTGACAAAATAAATCATTTCATTTTAGCAGTTTTCCCTGTTGTTTTTCAGTTTTTGCATCAAAATTTGCAAAGTATCAATCGATTATCCATTCAATCAAGGTGCAGTCGTCAGTTTGGACTTTGGACCATGCAGATCAAGTGCAAGTCTCCGGCACAACTGAAAATTAATGTGGTATCCTGAGTATCTGTCATGCAAACTAATCACATTGAAACCGTGGAAAACGAAATAAGCTTTTACATATGAGTGGTTAACGGTTGCTATCAGAAGCATTTTTTTAAAGAAAATAATTATGTTCATGCATATCTCTTTTGGATAATGGCAGCACTATTCTCTACTCACTGTTCAGAATATCAGCCATCTTCACCAACAGTTGAATTTCAGTCTCTGATTGCAAATTATTTTCACATTTTGTCCAGATTTAAATCTAGAAGTGTTTTTTTTTATGACGGGAGTAGTTATCACCTACAGTATCAAGATAACAGGTGCCAGTAAGAAGGGTCCTACTGAATAATTATATTCAGATGGTAAAAATTAATTACAATAGAAAAAACAAACTAAATAGAGTATAAGGTGCTACTGTTACAACAGTATGGCCATTATATGCATTTAACTAGGGAATGTGTTTCCTTTGCAAGTTGTAGTTTAAAAAATGGAAAATCTTCTGTTGCACTATAAACAAATAAGTTGGTAAGATCAGCTCTATTATAATTTTGCACACGCTCACTGTTCAGGATTCTAATCTATAGCATCTGTACTTTAAGCAAAAAGCTTTCTTGCGTCTGAACTCTGAATACACGTATTAGCAGAGTGGTACTATCTACCTTGGATTTCCAGATGATGCAGAGAAGTAATCTTATTTAGTACCTGTACTTTGAGTCGGCTAACTGATTGCTGCTCATAACAAACATACATTAATGATTCAATGGAAACTAGTTGCCGATGCAATCTATCAAGCATCAACCGTGGTCCAGCTGAAGAAGATTTCCTCAGTGTTAAGGTACGGCTGTTCCTATACAATCTTATCTATGAGCACGGCACTAACAGCAGCTTATTCAGTGCGCAATAGACCGGCTACCTAACACAAAAGGCAGCTCTCTTGAAGCCTTCAACCTTCATGATGACTCAGTTAACACATATCTTAACTGATTATGCGATGAGCAAGTTGCAGAAGTAAATGGTTTAATCAATGAGGCAGAAAAGCTACGTCATTATCTAAAAAAAAATAAAAGCTACGTCAGGGTGGGCAGTTAGTGCAGGAATTTAGCTTCTTAGATCCTCGTTAATTAGACTGTGGTTCCGAGCGTCCATTTTCGATCTGACAGCCCGTTCGAAGCCAATATTGTGCTCCCTCCGTTCACAATACACTTGATAAATATACTTATCTACATGAATTGACAAAACTTTTTTATGGGAAAAAATGTGCCCTACCAAATTTATTGGTAGCTTGAATAGTAATGTTGGGTGTTTGGATTGAGACTAAAATAATTGGCAATGCCAAATCAAATTTGACACTAATCTAGAAGATTTTTCTCGACAATGTCAAATTTTGGCTTTATATTGGTAGGAATCCAAACAAACTAGATTACAATTTTAACTTACCAAATAATTGGTAGTACCAAAATATGACAAGGATTTGGTACTACCAAATATTTGGTAGGTAGCAAACTAAACCTACCCTATATTTATGGATAGATTACTCTCTTCATCACATAAAAAACCAACTTCTAGCTACGAAATTAGAAGTAACGTATGTCCAAGTTCGTAGTTAGAAGCTGGTTTTTTATGGGATGGAAAGAGTACTAGCCTTATATTTTCAGTAGCATGTCTACCAGCAATTGGCGGTCACGGCTCACTTTGGGGCCTGGAACTGTTCTTCAGATTCTGTGAACTTGAACATATACGTGGGCGTGTAATAAAGGACTTTCTTCAGCGTCGATTGAAGTGCTGTCTAGAAGAGAATTCAGTGTATGGTAGTATAAAATGACGGCGGATATTGGCCGCCGGCGGCGGCGGCGGCGAAGAAATTCGGGGACTCCAGCTGCGGCCGTTGTTTCGCCGCCGGGTTCCTCCTTTCCACTGAGAATTGCCCAGGGAAGAGATATCTGTAAAAGCAGGCAGAGTGCAACACATATCATCACATAGTTTATTTGTCATGTTGCTAATTTAAATTCTGCGCACGATAGCCTCTCCCCAACTGTCTCGCTTGTCGTTAGTATCATCATATCATGATGGATATATCATACAGTATAAAATAAAGTTATAAACCATGAAATCTGATTCTTCTAGCCACTGAAAGGGAAGTCAAATAAGGAGAAAAAAAACGTGCCAAGTTGAGCATTTTGATTTATTTTTTTTTCTAACCGGTATTTTGAATTCTTTTTATTGAGCTGTATGGCCCACGAGGCCCAAATTAACAATATACGGTCCATGGGTCTATGCAATGCCAGGCCCATCATGTGAGATTTGTGGGCCGGTTACGTGGGCTCGCCGTATCGGCCCAGCTTCACTCATACCGCGATAAGCTAAGAGAAAAAAATAAATAAAACTCCTATACGTTTTTTTTTTCCACGAAGATTTCGAGGCTCGTGAGTCGTCAGCCCTCTCCTCCAAGCTAACCACATCCCGATGCCGCCCAAATCGAAGGCGGCGGCGGCGGCGGCCGCCGCCGCGGCGGCGCAGCCGGTCGCCGTGGAGGACCTCTTCACCACGCTGCACCGCCACATCGAGGCCGGCGAGTTCCCGCAGGCCGTCAAGGTCGCCGACCAAGGTAAAACCTCCTACGCGGCTCCGCGGTCCCTCTTCCCTGACCGCAACGCTGATCTGATCCTCCCGGGCTGATCCTGCAGTTCTCGCGGCGGCGCCGGGCGACGAGGATGCGGTGCGGTGCAAGGTGGTGGCGCACATCAAGTCCGATGCGATTGAGAAGGCGCTCGCCGCGATCCGCGCCGCCGAGCGCCTCCCGATCGACCTCAGCTACTGCAAGGTGATGCAAGTCCACCACGTTTTACTCCCGTTCGCGCGCTTGATCTGTTTGTTTACTTGTTACCTGGTATCCGTGTGGTGGCGCCTTGTGGTTTTAGGATCTAGGAGTGGCCACTACTGGCCAGATCTGTTAATGTTTATGGCTTGACGTAATTTCGCTTGTTTAGCTTAATATAGAGTCCAACGTAGGATGGATTTGAAATGATGATGCTGGCAAGTGGCAACATGAGATTTTTTTGTTAACATTGCATCCAGTTTTACTCGAGATTTTTTTTTTTGTTAACACTGTATCCAGTTTTGCCCGAGGCTGTGACCCATTGTGTGTGTTGCATGCTGATAGAATCTGACCGTGTATATATTTAGGTGAATGAAGGAGAATTTTGTGAACAATCATCCACTCACTAGCTAATGCAAGACATTGTCAGGACTCAAAATGCTGTTGGGTAGCCACGAACTGAGTGCTAATTATGATTAGATTCATTTCTTTATCAAGTGCTGATTGTTTGCTGTTTCTGTCGAATTTTATTACATATGGAAAGATCGTACTTGACAGGACATAGATCTTTTCTGTAATTCTGTTAATAAAAAATGGTATGCTTATGCTCTTAAGCTAAGTATCTACTTTTATCTGTATTCAGGCCTATTGCTACTACAGGCAAAATAAACTGCAAGAAGCTCTAGACCTATTGAAAGGTCAAGAAGAAACCTCTGCTATTCTTCAGTTGGAATCTCAGATTTATTATAGGCTAGGTAGAATGAATGATTGCATGAATAGCTATGAGAAGCTTCAGAAATTTAAGGTTGAGTCAATGGATCTGAAGATAAATATCATTGCTGCTCTGGTTGCTGCTGGAAGGGCCTCTGAAGTTCAGGCAACCATGAAGGCACAAAAAGTTGATCTCTCCTCGAGGGCACTCAGAGATACTCGAAGCTTTGAGCTTGCATATAATTCTGCCTGCTCGTTGATAGAAAATAAAAAGTATTCAGAAGCTAAAGAGCAGCTGGACTTGGCAAAAAGGTGATTCCTCGCTGAGGAACTGATATCTTAAATGAATAAATTCTTTCAGTTGCTTGAACTGATTCCATTTAATCCTACTTCCCTTCTAATCTTAAGAGCACGGTAGCTGACAGTTCATAGGTTTTTAGTAGCACGTCTTTTCCATTATTCTAGAATCCTGAATCCTTGTTTATGGATAAGTTGCTTGGCTATCAAAATTATGCAAGATCAGTATATTCTCTCGCAATACTTTAAGAGCATGCAACTTGTTGGGTTTTAGCTCACTTCTGTGTTCTTCAGAATTGGGAAAGAAGAGCTTATGGTGGACGAATATGGAGATGATGATATTGAATATGAACTAGCTCCTGTGTCTGCTCAGCTTGCTTATGTGCATCAGGTAATTAAATCTGGGAAATTTCTCCCGTGCAAATAGTTCAATCTATCTTTTCTGTTTAATTTTGAGCTTCAGGCTTGTAACTATTCTAGCTATATTTTCAGCTACAAGGACAAACCCAGGAAGCTATGGAAACCTATAATAATATAACAAGCAGGAATTTGGCAGATCCCTCATCACTTGCTGTGGCAACAACGAACCTTATCTCGTTGAAAGGAACCAGGGACGCTGCTGATAGCTTGAGGAAGCTTAGCCGGCTTATTGAAAAATCTACTGCTCCCAACCAGTTGCAACTTATCGAAAGCCTTGAATCCAAGCTATCACCAAGGCAAAAAGAAGCTCTGTATTCTGCATATGTTCTTTTACTCCTCCACGCGAACAAAATTGATCAGGTTTTCTCGGAACAGTTGATCCATCTCCCACTTTCTTTTTGTAGATATATCGTCTGTTAGCTAGTATTATTGAGGAATGTACTGATTGTTGTGTTGTATCTTGGTATGATATCTGATACTCATCTGGCATCACTGTGCTACTGATTAACTAATAATTGTTTATCATACTCATTGCATCTTTATACCATCTTGTAGTTTTTGTTCTTGTGTTTACCCCAAGTAGTGGCATTAGAGATGAGCCTAATCAAAGGTTACTGGTTGAGATGTGAGTGATGGGACTTAAGCAATAAGGAATATTCATTTGATGTGAAACTAGTGAAAACTGAAAAGGTTGGTTTGCAAATGGACGTGTTGCATACACATCTTATGATCTCAAATTACTTAATATTCATCTTGTTTTTCAGTTGTGCTTAGTATAAGATCACAAGCTCTGTTTTTATCGACTTTACGGTCTTACATGTGTTGTCAGTTCAGTTTAGCAAGGAAAGTGATCATCACCATCATGCCTAGGAGAGATCAATATAATTGGTACCTTTCATTCAGTATTTGGACTGAACATACAGAAATTTAGCACTAATAATATAAAGAATTATATTCTGATAGAATTCTATCAGAATAGAATTCTTTATTGGTTATTACTATTTTCTTATCATGTTCTACTGCTTTACTGCTTGTTTCATTTGAGAGTAATGTTGTCTTTTATATTGCAGGCACATGAGTTTGTCAGTGGACTACTTGGTATGTTTCAGGACAGCACATTCCCTGTTTTGCTTCAAGCTGCAGTTCATGTGAGAGAAAAGAAGGTGCAGAAAGCTGAAGAAGTTCTTAGCCAGTATGCTGAGAAGCATCCTGAGAATTCTAAAGGAGTCCTCCTTTCGCTTGCTCAGATCGCTGCCAGTGCCAATCATTTTCAGATTGCTGCTGATTCATTGTCTAAAATAGTTGACATCCAGCACATGCCTGCTACAGTCGCTACACTAGTAGCTCTTAAAGAGCGCCTTGGTGACTCTAATGGTGCTTCTTCTGTGCTTGATTCTGCTATCCAGTGGTGGAAGAATTCCATGACTGAGGATAACAAATTAGAGGTGTTCATGCGGGAGGCTGCTACATTTAAGCTCAACCATGGGCGTGACGAAGAGGCCTGCCAATTGTATGAGGATCTTGTTAAGAGCTTTGGAAGCGCAGAAGCGTTGGCGGGGCTAGTAGCAACTTCAGCGCGCACCAACCTTGAGAAAGCTGAACAGTATGAGAAGAAACTGAAACCATTGCCAGGTCTCAAGGGAATTAATGTTGAGAGCCTGGAGAAAACTTCTGGTGCAAGGCCTTTTGAGGCGCCCAAACCCATGGAACAGGACGTTACTGACGAAGTGAAGAAGCAGAAGGCTAAGAAGAGGAAGAGGAAACCTAGATACCCGAAAGGCTTTGATCCAGCAAACCCAGGGCCACCACCAGATCCGGAGAGATGGCTACCCAAGAGAGAGCGGTCAAGTTACCGCCCAAAGAGGAAGGATAAGAGGGCTCAGGTCAGAGGTGCTCAAGGAGCTGTGTCAAGAGATGGAACTTCATCTGCGAGCGCCAGTTCATCTTCGAAAGCAAACCAAGCCACCAAAGCTCCAGCTGCAGCCCCAGAACCACCAAAGGGTTCCAACAAGTCCCGGAAGAAAAAATCGAGATGACGACGAATCCAAACTATCACAGTTCACAAAATCAAAGATACCCTAGACTCTGTTCGTTTAGCGTTTTGACTCGCAATTTTGGTGTTGATTGCATTGTGTTGCCGGATTTGTCATGCTTTTACAATCATATTTTGCTGGCCACATCCGAGTCTGTACTGTTGCCAATTCTGTTAAACTGATGCAGATCTGATTGAAGTTCCGCCCTTTACATGTTAGACATGTGCGTTAGCACTCGATTTTAGCTTTGCTGTTCTGGTGTTTACATGAACAGTAGATTGCATTGCTAGTTTTCGCATGTTCCAGAAATCCAAACGCAATTTTAATAGTGGGTTGCAAACCATTATCATACATTCAAATACAACCTTTCAGAAAACCGGTGACATGAATTATTCATTTTCAGAAGACATAAACGTCATGTTTCTAAAGAAAAAAAAAAGGAGCACAACCATCAATATTACTTCCAAACATCCGACTGGATTACGTAACAAAGAGATCGAAGCTTCAGTTAGATGTTTGTGTTTAGTGGCAGCCACTATTAAGCGTTTTGTTCTGGATAATACCATGTGATGTTTTGGGACTAAACAACTACTTTTATAATGAAACAAAATATTAAGTGTTTCGTTTGGGACTAACAGCCTAACACCGTCATGTGATGCATAGCGATACTAGTATTAAGTGTTTCGTTTGGGATTAACACCATGTGATGCTTAGTTTAGTAAACAACTTGCTAAACAAACATAGCTAATATCAAGCAACGAACACAGGAGTAACTACTATTATCATTTATCAAGCAAAATGAATAACCTAGACAAACACTACTCTGCAACTACCATCCTTTAATCTTCTCTAGACATCGCTGCCACCTTCTTGCTCCTCTTCGTCTGCCGGCTTCTCTATATCCACGCCAAAAATCCGCACGATATTTCCCCTCGCTTCAGCTGGCGGAGACACCGGCGCCATTGGCACTTGCTCTGCTTCATGTTCATCCACGTCCGCTTTTACCTCCGCCGGTGGCAATGCCGCTCCGGCGATGGACGGAGCAGGTGCAGGCGTAGGCGGCGCGACGGAGAGGGTAAGGACAAGGCCAGCATGCTTCTTCTTCTTCTTGGGGTCGTAGTGCTTCCTCATGTGGCCGCCGAGCGCCACTCCCGTCGAGAACTCTTTCCCGCACGTTTTGCATGGGTGATTGCCCTCCGGCCTGGCGCCGCTGCCGCCCTGGGCGGCGGCGGCCGCCTGCTTCTCCCTGTTGATGTGGCCAGCCACGTGGCCGCCTAGCCCCTGGTGCGTCCTGTACTCCCCCTTGCAACCCGGGTAACTGCACCTGTACGGTCCACCCTGTCCGGCGTTACGCTTCGGCCGAGCGCGGCGGCGGGCGGGGGCGGCGGCGGCGCCGACGTACGGCACGGCAGCTGGCACTGGCAGGCGGTGGTTGTCGTCGGCGACCTGGTTAGGAGGATTGGCAGCTTCTGCCACCACCATGGGCTGCGGCTGCGGCTGCGCCGCCGGTGCGAGCACGATGGCGCGGGCGTCGCCGTCGTCGTCGCCCACCGCTTGTTCCATGGGGGCGAAGGCGACGGTGACAGCACGGGCGTTGCCGTTGGCGCCGCGCTTCCCCGTCGAGGTCCAGCCGAGGGCGAGGTGCAGCGACGGCTCCTTCTCCTTGTCCTTGTCCGCCTGATGGACCCTCATGTGCCCGTGCACCGCCTTCCTGCTGCCGAACTCCTTGCTGCAGACGTGGCACGGGAACGCCACGCGCGCCACGGGTGCATCGGCGGCGGCGGCGGCGCCGGCGATCCCGTCGCCGTGGTCGTCGCTGATCGTCCCCTCCGAACCGGACGACGACGGCGTCGGCGAAGGCAGCGGGAGCGCTCCCCGTGTCTCCGCGAGGATGTCCTCGAGGCGGCGGCGCTTGCTCGCCGGGTTCACGCCCTCCTCCTCCTCCTCGTCGTCGCGGCGAGACTGGAACACGTACCGATCGTCGTCGTCCTCGGTCTCGGAGCCCGAATCGTAGTACCCACCACCACCACCACCACCCGGATGAATCTCCCCCTCCTCCATCTCCTCCTCCTCCGGTGGCGGAGGAACGGGAGGGCTGCTGCTGGACTTCTCCTGATCCTCCACCATGATCGATCGAGCAGGAGAAGCAAGTGGGATCGAACTAGGGTTTTGCTCGATCTGTGCTCGATCTGTAAGCGATCGAGATGGTGGTAGCTAGGGTTTTTTTTGCTGCCTTCGCGGTGTAGAGAGGAGAGGGTGGGGGATTGTGTTGTGGGTGGCCTTGTGGGTGTGTCGTCACATTATATAGCGGCAGCGGGCCGCGCGGTGCGTGGGCGGTAAGTCGAGTGATCCACGTCAGCGTGGGGGCGCGGCGAGAGAAGACTACTCCACCTCCGATGCGGATTCGCTCCGCGCGTCTGGGGGCACAGCGAAACGGATCCGTACGTACCAAATTCGTAGCGGATTCCTTTTGATTTTTTACAAGGAGATATAGTAGTATAGTTAGTTAATTATCCTGTTGTTTAAAAATATATTTTAGAGATAAGTTGTAGGAGTAATTGTTTTTGAGAGAGTATCGTACCCATATGCATTCTCTCTCGCAGGAATTGCGGCATGGGCAATAATGCGTGCCTGCGATCAGAGATGAAAAATTGAAAATGGTCGAAGACGGCTAGAAGATAATATTTAAATCATTTCCACAATCATATTTTTCTCTCAAACACAATAATCGAATAGTAAATAAAAAAAAGCGAAAACTAAATTATATTAGTGCTTACTGATGAAACATAAAAGGTTATCAACAAACGGGATGACCATATATATATAAGCCTTGGAAACACCCGTATCACAATGATAAGCAAGTTCAGGCAATGTTTTATTTTTTACTTTTTTTAAAAAATGTGTCATATGTAACTGTGATGAACATTTATAAAGTAGAATAACCAACTTAAATACTTCCAACAATATTGTAGCATCAACAATGACAACACATATCTAAGTGAACGTAGCTCAATTAGTTAAGTTTCTGGTGGTACAACCTGTTCTCCTGAACTTAAGTCCCAGGCTTGACACATGTTATCGCATTTATGGCTAAACTTTTTTTAGTGGTAGGCAACGTACCTATAAATACCGAGCCTATGGTTCACATTTATGGCTAACCTTTTTTCAGTGGTAGGCGATGTACCTATCAATACCGAGCCTATGTTTACTTCGTGAGTTAGATTTTTTTATCAACATTGAGTTAGATTTTTTATCAGCATTTGGGGTGCTAGGCCTATCGTTACTTCGTGAGTTTCAAGATATTTTTATCAGCCTTTGGGGTGCTAGGGATAGGGTGTGTCACTTGTGGTGACTTTGAGGTGCTAGGGGTAGGGTGTGTCGCTTGTGGTGACTTCGTGAATCTTAAGATGTGTCGGTTTAGTATTTAGATATGTATGTAGTTACTTGATGAATCTCAATATATGTCCTTCCAGTCTTTAGAGATGCTCATAGGTATGATATGTTATATGTGGTGATTTTGTGATTTAAGATGTACTGGTCTTGTCGTTGGGATATCATAATATGCAACTCCTTTTTATTTAAAACAACTTATTTTTATAAATAATATTGGTCAAAATAACACACCTTAGACCGTATCAAGATCTAAAAATGGTTATATATTGTACAGGGGGAGTTTGGATAAATGTTGTGTGTATTTTTGGTGTTGATGATATAAAGAAGATTAAAGGATAGTAGTCATAGGTCGTAGAGTAGTGTTTGTTTAGATATTAATTTATGTTGCTTGATATTAATTACTCTCTTAATAATTTGTTAATTTAGAATTTGCATAGTGCTAATAAGGATCTTTTCATGTATTTAGTACACCGATTTTATATATAGGGAACATTTTTATAAAGAGAAATGTATTTTTTTGTTGTTTAAAAGTATTTAGAGATTATAAGTTTTTTTTCGTGGGGTGGAAGCGTACTCATATTACTCTCTTGCTTGTAATTTCGTTTCCGTTTTTAATTCTAGCAATAAATAAAAATTGAATTTTCTAGTTTCTTTTATTGTTATCACTAAATAATTAAATTGATAAATACGATCAATTTTCAACTGATCAAAAATAGTTTCCAAATAGTTAAATTTATAAATACGGTCAATTTTCAATTGACTTGCCGCGATTTTCAACCCACCGAAAATAGTTCCCGAGAGATAAATTTATAAATACGGTTATTTTCAATTTGTCATTATGTTTCGCTATAAAAGTTGATATTCCTAGTTTCTTTTATTGTTATCAACACTAAATAAGTTAAATTGTACTGACCGCCCGATAATCATTCCAACGATAGATGCTATCGATTTTGACCATTTTTAAATCTACGGTAATCGTTTCAAATATGCTATCAATTCCTACCATTTTCATCCCTAGGAATCTGATCCCCTGGTGTAGAGCATTATATGCTAGAGGACAGTAGTTTTCCGCATCCACGTCCATTTTTCGATTTTTTTTTTAAATTCATTTTTTGAATTTTTTGTTTTAATATTACACCGGCGAAAATATTTACAGAAATAGACCCTACAGCCCTCCCCGAGGACGGCAGGGTGACGTGTGTGACCAGACGCTGGAGGCCGCTGAGCGGGTATGCAAATTTTGCATGCGGCAAAAATTGCATTTCACTCTCTTGCCACCCTCTACGAGGGACCTTGGCGCAAAATACGCACACAGCACCGTCTGCCACGTTACCTTGTTGCCCTCCACTTGGGCGACAGGGTCTATTTCTGTAAATATTTTCGCCGGTATAATATTTCTGTAAATATTTAAAAAAAAATAAAAAAAATCCTCCGGTTTTCATTGAAGGGCAGGGCTACAGCGGGGGTTTGAGAAGTGGCACCATGGCCTGGGTCAGCCCAGTCGACGTGCCTGCTGCCTTAATTGGGCCGTCGTATGGCCGTGTATGAGTGTATCTGCCTGGTCCCTGGGCTACATGTCGTTTGGGCAAGCCAGTGGGAAATGACATCTCGATAAAAGCTTTAGTGAGATCTCCATAAAAATCATAACATGACACATCAACAATACTACCATAAGTACAATCTAAGCTAAGTATTCATTTACTACAAGCAGCAAATCTTCTAAAGGCACACAATTTTACAACCGCTACAAATACAGTTAAAATGCACATTGCTAGCTATGCACACTAATCTGGCAAGTCATTGCAGGACTGTAGCTCACAGCTGACCAATGCACTTATGCACACGTAATTACCTAACCTCTATTGTCATTCAACAGCAGCGAGTCCACATCTGGAGTCACAACGACATGCCGGCTCTCGATCTCGCCAAGTAAACAACAATGCTTCTCTTTGGTGTTGATAGCAGCCACATGTTGTGCCATCCTACACTCTTCTCCTGGGTTCACCTGCCATGGAAGAACTTAAGTATCAGAGATCTTACCAAGTTACCAGATTGTGAAGTTAAATGAGAACGGAAAGAAACTAACATCAAACATGACATCCCCCAACTTCATCTTGATCTTGCCGCTCTTGTACACCACCATTTTGCCCAAATATCCTTGTGGCAATTCTTTCAAGTTGGATCCTTCTTTCACCTCCTTGTCCCTGGCTTTTCCATTCCTTTCAACTGCAGCGGATATTCTTGGCAACGGAAGAGATTTTGGCAACTGGAATAGGAGCATTCTTCTCGTGTCACCTTGCTCCTGTTGTTCTAAATTATAAATCAACTACTCCCAGTGGCAGACAATATCGTGGTATTTCATAGAGCTCAGAAGGTCATACGAGTAAATTCAGCTCTTCTGCTGGATGGATGGAAGATTCACATTCAGTTGAACTTGGTCGAATCTCCTCTAATTCAACATTGTTATCGCCCTCATCGTCGTCGTCGTCATCATCATCCTCATCGTCGTATAAAAATCCTGAGAAGAGCTTACATTCTTATGAGATTCCTGTGGAATGTACTGGGCAATTATCCAGAGCAATGGAGCTAATGAAGCCTTAAGAAAGTTACCTGGAATAGCATCAAGAGGAACCGCTCTTGTGATGTGGAATGGCTTCTTCTTCCTCCATAGAAAATAGACAAACAAAGTCATGTGTCTGTCAAAAAGACATTGGGTATTTTTCCAGGTGATCAAGTTGACCTTGAGAGGTTGGTGAACTCACCAGTTGGCCTTGGTTGTGCCCTCCTGACTGTGGCAGTGTTAAGCTAACACTAGCTGCAGAAGAAACAGTTGAGGGTGGGTTCTGTGTTGAGTGTTCATCTGTGAGCACAATGCAAATAGGATTATAGAATCTGATGTGTTTGCAGTTACTGCTAATTGAAAGCATTTAATTGAAAGACTTCTTGCCCTTAGGACCAATACTAAGTTCTAAACATACATGTGGAGGTCAATGGATACAGATCAACCTTTTATACTTGACAATGTTTTTGTAGCTCCTTGGCCAGTCTGAAAATAAGACAGAAGTTCAATAGGAACCTTTGTCCTCTCTACACAACTACTCCCTCCGTCCCAAAATTTGAACTACACAGCTGCACTTATTTTGGGATGGGAGGGAGTACAATATTATGTCTTCAGTTTATGAAACGAATAATCAATTACCTTCAGTCTCTTCATCAATTCTTCATCAATTGGCTTTGACTGTTCCAGGTTTGGCCTGAAAGAACAGAATAAGCTTGTCTATGGTAAACTGAAAGTCTGTCATATTCAGCTGAACAAACTTTAGAGCTTTACTTTTCTGGAACTGATTTTCTTGGCTTTTGTGGTGGCACTTTTGGCTTGAACTTCAGCTTCTGCATCCATTAGAATTTTATGGAAAAAAAAATACATGTTAGCCTATAAAGACAATGCCAAAAAATAATCATAATTGGTGTGCCCACCTTTCTAGTGCGACGACCTGGAGGGCCTTTCTTGGAGCTACCATCTGCATCCATTTCCACTTACTCCCTATATCCAATTGCTCAGTGAGAGGGTTTACAGAAGGTGAAGATTATGCAGTAAGGGTCTGTTTGGTTGCTCGTATCCCTCTAGCCTGGCCCATCTCCCTCATCCAGGCTAAGTTTAGCCTGGTTTAGAGGATACACATGTAGGTGTTTGGTTGCTTGGATGAGATGAACCTGGATATGATGAGATGCTGTTTGGTTGGTTGCAGCAAGGGGCGGATGGAATGGTAGCATGCAGGAGATGTTGTTTGGTTGGATGGATACATCTTATGTGTAAATACCTATTCTTGTGGGTGGTTAGGTTACCCCATAAAGTTTGTGAAACGAGATTTTTTCCTAGTCCCTAATCTATTTATGTGTGATAAGTTTAATCCATCGTAGATATATAGATTAAATTATGTTACTCTGGGTCTGTGCCCACCTACTAATATTCCTAAGCTCATTTTTCTCTTAGAGAATCGATGTACTGGGTATGTATGCTTTACTGATGTTGTCATTTTTTAAAACCAATGAGCAGCACTGATGATCATTTTTTTTATCAAATGTAACGAAATGGCCTGGATGAACACGCAAGAGTGATTATTCTAGCAAAAATCATGTACATAATTTTATTGACGACACTGGTACATTTGACAATTCAAAACAAACATACAAATATACGTGCTCATGGCAAATTTTTTACAGTAACCAATTTGATAAACAAATTAGTAACCGCATACAAAACTAAACCATCTGTTTCAGCTATGTTCTTCAAACTCATCAACCTTAGTATATCTACACTTGATCTCACAAGTTTTTCCATTATCACATTTTCCTGAAACATAGTAAAAGTAAACAGGATAACATGTACCTTTGAAATAGTACAGGATCTGAGTTGCAGAGATCAGGTTGCAAGAGCATCAACACTTAATAGTAGTATGATCTTTACCAAAAGAGCAAGTGCAGAGTGTATCGGTTTCATATAAAAACTTGATCATGTCAAAATCAAGTGTGGTTACCTAAAAAAAGTGAGTACATCTGTTGATATCAAAAGATGAACAAGGAACTTGATAGTATTTGCCTGACATCAATAACTCGAAAATGTAGCAAATATGTGCAGAAATTTGACATCATTGAGCCTCATTTCCAACAGGTAAATAAATGCAGAACAATGGCCTCAGATATATGAAGAATGTGAATTAGCTACTATCATTGGTATCTGTTCTTACCAGTAGTATCTATCAAATGTAGCAAAAGAAAAGGTATAAGGAAAAGGAAAATAAGACCAAGTGTAGGAAAAAAGAAACCGCAAGAAAATGAGAACAAGTGTAGAGCAAAAATCTATTCACATGAATCACAAACAGCAGCATATATCATCATTGGCCATCTTTCCCAGCCTAACAGCAAGAAAAAAGAACAAGTGTAGAAAAATCTGTTCATGTACTCTTATAAATTCTGCTCAGTTCAAGTGTAGAGGTGGCCTCAGTTCTGCTAAAGATAATTTCAACTATAAAATACTGAGAAAGATCACAGAAAGACAAACTTAGAAAGGGCATGTTTGGTTGCCTGACCTTATCGAATAAGGTCAAGTGCAGGCATATATGTTCTTATGCATCACAAATAAGCACTATTAATCAAGTGTGTATCTGTCAGTATCAATTTAAAAGAACGCACTATTGAATCTGGCCTTATCAGTAACTTCTATTTGTAGCCAAAGATACAATGGCATAACACAAATCAACAGGAAAATAGGAATAAGTGTAGGAAAAATCTGTTCATAAGCATCACAAATCAGCAACATTAGTCATCATTGGCCATCTTAGAACAAAAAAGCAAGCCACTAGACATTTCATTCCATCGAAATCAACCAAGAAAGATATCAGCTTTTAGTAGATCTAGCATTTTTTTTAGATAATGGAGTAGATCTAGCATATTTATGAAGGGGACACGGTCTAATCCAAACAAATCGGCTGAAATCAAAGGAAGAGAGGAGAAGAAACTGAAGGAGGTGAGAAAGGGAAGGAGATGCCCAACCTAGCCCTTACCAGAGAGCTCAACGGAGAGAGTCGACGAAAGAGAGGGGCGTAGCAGAGAGCCGGCGAAACCAAACGGCTTGACGGAGAGAGCGAACCAGTGGAAGAGAGCGATGGCGGCTAGCGAAAGAGAGGGAGGATGACCAACGGAAGAGAGGATGCTGACGGACGACCGGCCCTCCCGCCGGCGAGGACGGCGCGACGAGCCTGGCGACGAGCAGCGCCCTCCACTCGCGAGTCAGCGGAACCCTAGCTTTCCACTGGTTTGGAACAAATGAGGAGGAGGAGAGGAGGGATGGTGGTGACCCCATCCATGGGTTCTGCACGCGCGGGTGCAAGCGGTGCACGCGTGGGTGCAGCCTCGCGGCATGAGGCGAGCCAGGCTGAGTTGCGAAGGTCGATTCGAGCGTTTCCCCTCAGCCTGGCTCCGCGGGCCTTTTTCATCCATCGGACCCGGCTCTGAGACAAGTAAACACACGCAAATCTGCTGGCTAGGTGTGAGCCAGGTGCAGTCCGGGCAATCAAACACGCCAAATGAATCACTTGTTAGTATCTATGAATCAGGAATAATCCTGCTTTAGCTACTGTCTCCTACTCTATGAGCTAATTCTGCAATCATCTTTACTGTCAGTATTCTTACTATGCAGTGTTGTGTAGTTAGTATAACAGTTATACAATTCAGTTGTTCCTCAACCCTAAACTTATTGGTTGTGTGCATGCTGGCAGAGAAGAAGATATAACCATTTCCATTATCTAAAAAAAATTGCTCATCATGGTGACTTCTTTCAAGAGTATTCTGCACTGAATCCACGAATTTATTCTACCAAACACTACTCCACAGTGGCGGATCTAACATGGGACAGGGTTCAATTGAACCCTCAAACTTTTTGGGAACCATCAAACTGTTATTAGTACTCATTTCCTAAGGTTAAGGCAGATTTCTAGAACAGAAGCTAGGGTTAACGCAAATTCGAGAAAAAGTGTGTAGGTAGAGAGAGAGACGGGAAAGGCGGCGGTGGCAAAGGATGCGCTCACCAGGATGCGGTGGAAGCAGCGGGACAAACAACGGCGCCCTGGTCACTCGCCGGATGGATGGGGATCGGCGTCGGCGGCGAGCAAACTGACGAGGACGCCAGGATAACTCACGCTCATGTCACAACAGAGGCCAACTATAGTGCGTGGATAACTATTACGCCCAGTACTCAGTTCCACCTGGATTGCACATCCCATTCCAACCCTACCCAAACGTTAAAAATCTAAAAGTCTTATGGGTTGTTCAGATTGTGAGATGTCAGGTCGGGACGTGGCGATCTTTCACAATTAGGGTACGGGGGACACGGCTAGTCAATGGCGCGACGGAAGAGGGGCGATAGTGGATGCCTCGGTCTTTGATCTATAAGTCAGAGCAAAGAGGCGCCATAGTTTCCTCTTCCTCAGTCGTCTTCCTGGATCCAAAAGCCAAAGGAGTGGAGATACGGACGGCGGGTACTAGTGAGGGGCGGCGAGAGGCCGTCTTAGCAAAGGAGGCAGTGGCTCCCGCGTTAGGGTGGAGGCTGAGGCTCTCGTGGGCATCAGTAGCTCCATGGCCGATGGGAAGCCCACGGCGGTGGCGACGTTTCTTTTCCACCGTTGGGATTGTTGTAGGCGGCATCGGTCTCGTGGTGAGATAGAGGAGCTCAGCATATCTTTGGCGATGAGGTGGTAGCAGAGCTTCGAGGGGACAGAGGCCTCCTGCTGGTGGCACTCTCACTGGCGTTCTACTTCGCGCCGTCGCTACCGCGACCTTGTTCGGCACCCTAGGTGGTCGTGAACGTCCTCCATCTCCACCTCCGCCCTTTCCTAGCTCCCTCGAGCTCTTTCGTCTACCACTGTCTTGCTGTTGTCAGCCGTTGTCTTGCTGTTAGGCCCCGAGAAGGAGAGGGGAGAGAGAAAGGAGATGATATGTGGGACCCACTTATTTTTAAATTTATTTGATGACTGAGTGGAGGCTGCGTTAGCAAAAACCGCTTTCAAAACCGTCAAGAAAGTCGCTTAAACGGTTTTAATAGTTGTGGTAGTCTTTATATCCGATTTGTGATGGAGCGATACGAGTCAGATCAGGCCATTAGTTATGGGAGTCCAAATGGACTTTTGAGCATACTTTGGTGTGGGTTGTATCTAGTATCCGCCAACTTGGTCCATTTTTGCGTCTCTGGCTCCACCGGTCCATCCTGCTAAATGGGCCACATTAAAAACAAGGGAGGAAGTCCATCTAGGAAGCCCACGAGCCGAGCGGTGTTCCCCTACAAAAATCACGTACTATTCGTGTATTTCGTTGCCATGTTTAGTTCAAAAAAAACTTTTTCCTAAAAACATCACATCGAATCTTTGGACACATGTATAAAGTATTAGATATAGATAAATTTAAAAACTAATTGCACAGTTAGAGAAGAAATCGCGAGATAAATCTTTTGAACCTAATTAGTCCATGATTAGCCATAAGTGCTACAGTAACCCACATGTGCTAATGACGAATTAATTAGGCTTAAAAGATTCGTCTCGCGATTTCCAGGCGAGTTATGAAATTAGTTTTTCCATTCGTGTTCGAAAACCCCTTCCGACATCTGGTTAAACGTCCGATGTGACACCCAAAAATTTCTTTTTCACGAACTAAGCATGCCCTAATTCACTCGGTACTGCTCCCGCACTAGTACTTCCTTCATTTCAACATATAAAAATCTAGTATCAAATTAAACATTTTATAGTTCTTTACAGTCTAGATTCGTAATACTATAAAATATATAATCTAATAATACTTTCGTCCTAAATTGTAACTATTTCTTCACTATCTCATCCTCTCAACCAAACACAATTATTCTCTTTCATCTCCTTTTCCTTCTCAACCAATCATATACTTCATCCAATTATTTTCACCTACTTTCTTAATACCTGTTAACCTTAAAAATACTTACATTTTGGCACCAAGGAAGTAATACTAGATTTTTACATGTTAGTACGGATGAATTGTTCACGAAACGGAGGTCACCATAATATGGCCGAGTTTAGTTTTAAACTTTTTCAACAAACTTTTAACTTTTTATCACATTAAAATTTTCCTACACACATAAACTCTCAACTTTTTTATCACATCATTCCAATTTCAATCAAACTTCCAATTTTAACGTGAACACACACCCTGTATACGCCCGTGGAAGCATCAATCGGTCGGTCGGCAAGGCTGTGGCCTGGGCGCGGAGCGTGTATATCAACGTGGACACCTAGGCGAGGCATCGGCATTTACTTTGCCTGTTGGTCGCAGTCGGGATGCAGGCATGCGCACACACATTCTCGCGTACAAAAATCCCAAGGACTTGTCACTTCGAGCCAGTCAGTTTGTCCCGTCCGTCTACCGCTGCTACCTCAGCGTGTATTTACGCCACCCTGCCTGCCTTTCCTATACACTCTGCCTGTTGCCATTAGGCCATTTACAGTGCAACGAGCTGGCATTCGGCCTGAGCTTCCACGTTGGCGAGTAGCCCAGATTCACCGCCACGTTACAGCATAGGCCCACAAAACTCAAGCGCGGGTGACCAAAGTTGGTCACCCGTTCTTCGGCGCAATCGAGACTGGTGGCGTGGGAAACGAGGTCGCGGTGCCGTGCGGGAGACCTGGCTTCGCCGCGAGAACGGAGAGCGGCGGCGGCGGCAAAGGAGAACCGAGAGCGGCGGCGGCGATTGGGTGCAGATCAGGTTGTGAGAAGAGGCCCGCTTGCCTTGTCTCCCGAGCTCCGGCCATTTCCCCCTCCCGTGCCGCCGACCTCGCCGTGTCGCCGAGTCACGCTCTACGCCACCGATCTCTTCGGCGCGCCGGCCAAGGGAGTGGAGAGCGCGAGGAAGACGAGGACGGATTAGCCGCCGAGCCGGATCTGGCCGGCAGAGGAGAAGAGAGGGGGACGGCAATGGAGGAGAAGAGAAGCGGTCGGCCGCACGGAGGAGCTCGTCGTCGATCCGCAGCCAGCCGCATGGAGGAGCTCATCGTCGACCCGTAGCCGGTGCCGACGCCGCTCGTGACACCCCGCCGTCCGCCGCCCGGCGCGGCCCGGCGAGGAGAGGAGAGGTGGAGCCCCCGGCGCCGGCGCCGCTTGGGTCGTGCCGCCAGAGCTCCCGCCGCATCGTCCCCCGTAGGCACGCCGCCGAGCTCCCGCCACACCGTCCGTCGGCAGGGATGGAGATGGATTCACGGAGGAGGGCGCCGACCGACGCAGCCGCCCGATGCCGTCGCCGCTCGGGCCGGAGGAGGAAGGCGGAGGCGTGGAGGCTGGACGCCGCTCGTCCGCTCGTCGTTGTCCCCTGCTCCAAGTCGGGCGTCCGCCGCCGACATACCGCCGCCGTTCGAGGTCGATCCCTCGATCCGCCGCCCTGCCGGCCCGCCCCGCCCCCGCCCCGCCGTGGAAGGCCACGGCGCCGCCGCCGCCGCGCCCCGACGAGCCGACGCCACCTGACCCCCTCTTCGACCTGCGCTTGAGCCACCGCTCCGCCCAAGTTCCGGTGACCTGTCTCCGCCCGGCTCTGCGGTGGGGAAAGGAAGAGTTGGGGGAGAGAGAGGGGAAAGTAAAAGGTGAAACTGTAAAAGTAGTAGTGGTGGGACCCACTACAAGCTAGTACTTGTATATGGCCTTGTGGAGTTTGCACTGTGAGATGTGTGGCTAATACAGTTCTTGGTCTACGTGGCATGTAAGGAACACCAAAACTTGATGACGCACTGTCAATGGCCTTAACCCCACCTTCGTCCCTGCCCCTCGCGCAGCAGTAGCAGCTAGCTCCAGCTCCAAGACGGAACCAAACGAAACGAATGTGAGCAGCAGAGAGCATGTAAAAAAAGCGAGTGATAACAAAAGGGCGAGATGAATCGCGCCTTTGATCTGAGCACGCAAGCGATCAGCTGCTGCAGCAGCTGCAGCAGTGGGGAATGCGAGAACTAAATGTACGGGGGAGGGGGAGGGAGCAGCAGCAGTCAAGACTCTCAAGAGGCGCGCACACACACATGGCTCCATCCATCCAAGATGCGTGGCATGTGATGGGACGGCTCGTCCCTTCATGCAATCGCAAGCTGCTGCTGCCGCCTGCTGCTGCAGCATTCATTCTGATCTCGCCTCCCAAGGGAAGGAGAGGAGAGAGTTGGAATTGATCGAGGATGGCTGGGGCATGGCCGGCACAGAAGGGCGCGGCAGGGCCACGCGAGAGGAGGAGGTAGGAGTAGGCAGAACCACCCACCCGGGCTCGCAATAACTTCGTCATTCCCTCGGGTTGGCTTGGCTCGGCTCGCCTCCCTCCGTTTTGTCCCCCCCGTACGTACGCACCCGAGCCGGGTC